CAACTTTTCACGGGGGGCTCGATGCTCACAACGTGCAGCATGATTCAGAGCCAGGCCGCTCCAATTTGTGCATTCCATGGTCGCAGGTGGCTAAACATAAGGAAAATGACTTCAATTTCTATCGGAAACAGAAATTCCCCTTGTCCCTCGAACCCTAACCCTAGACATGGTTTCGAGCAATTTACTCGTCCCGGTGCGACGGTATGTTTCTCGGCTTATCAATTCGCAGGTCAAGGCGCAGCCGCGCGATGAAGGGTGTGACGCAAGCACGCGGAACCGTGCTGTGTCTCCGCATCCGTTTCCGTTTGGACGGAGCCCGTGTTCCAGAAACAGACCTCACGCTGCAGTGTAGAGTATGGACCGTAGTCGAGTCTTGCGCAGAGCTTATTAACGCGGCTAAGCATCGCAGAGCCGTCGCCACCCCGAAATACGTACCTATCCACAGCCACCCACTCCACCGTTTCCATTCCTAGTCGCCGATCGCTGCCCGCCTACGCACGCAGCCGCAGTCGCGTTTACGCGCCCGCGTCGACGTCAACGAACCCGTGGAGATGCCTGACCGGAACGCCGGGGCAGCCAACGGACGCGCTGCCCGGGAGCCCGTCTGGTTTCTCATCGCGCGCGCGTCCTCGGGCGTTTGAACCGTCGCCCCACCCCCACTTGCCACTGCTCGCTGGTGGTGGTCCGGTGGTCGTCCCACTGCTACTAATCAGCCCGGCGGCGGTACGGCGGTGCGGTGTTTCTGGCCGGGATCAGCCATGGTAGCTGGTGCGGTGCGCCAATTTATTCCACGGCTGCGCTTGTCATTTGGTCTCGCAGAGTCTGCGCGCACGAGTTTCCTCTTACTCGTCCTCGCTTCTAGATTCGACGGGTGGTCACGTAGCCTGGTGGGAGCACCTCTATCTTTGACGTTGGACCCCTGTGGAGTTAGAAGTTGGACGTGCCGGTAGGTTTTCGTTTCATACAACAAGAAAAACCTCACACTTTGCAAAAGAAACTCTTTTTTTTTTTGCAACAAGAATTGCAAAAATAAACTCGAAAAGTAGTGCAAGGACAGTAGAACATCCACACGAGCACGGCGAACTCAGGTCTCACATCTGCAAAAAGATCCGAGTAAAATGCGATATAGGTTCTAAAAGTATTTGAGGTTCAATTCAGTTTTTTAAAAAAGTAGTTAGGGTTTGTTAAATGGGTCATGGAATTTCCAAAATGCACGTTTGGACCGTACTCCCTCCGTTTCTAAATACAAGTCTTTGTAGAAATTTCACTATGAACCACATACAGATGTATGTAGATGCATTTCAGAGTGTAGATTCACTCATTTTGCTCCGTGTGTAGTCCATAATAAAATCTTTGAAAACTTATATTTATGACACTCATTTTGCTCCGTGTGCAGTCCATAGTAAAATCTCTACAAAAAGTTATATTTAGGATTCACTCATTTTGCTCCGTATGCAGTCCATAGTGAAATCTCTATAAAAACTTATATTTAAGATTCACTCATTTTGCTCCGTATGCAGTCTATAGTAAAATTTCTATAAAGACTTATATTTAGGAACGACAAAATATTAGTGAGTACGTGATCTGCGGTGGGTCATATCCGTGCTTGACCAACCCGCGTGGCAAGTTGACTGACATCAAGTGGACCCTGTTTTCTAGACAACACCCTAGACAATTACCACTTCCTCGGTATCTTACTTAACCACCTACTCCCTCTAGTTCTTTTCTTTGCATAGAAAATTTGTCTAAAGTAAAGCTTCATAAAGTTTGATCAACTTAATAGAAAAAAATATATCAACATTCAAAATACGAAATCAACATCATAAAATGCATCATGAATTTAACTTTTACACTGTATAACGATTAGAATCGTAGATATTAATATTTTTCTAATATAAACATGGTCAAACATTACGAAATTTGACTTCGGACGAATCTTATATGCGGAATAAAAATGGCAGGAGGGAGTACTCTTCATCACCTCCGACTCACGCCGCCACCACATCCTTCTCTTCCTTTTTTTTCCAACCGTGAGACCACCTTCCTCTTATCATGGCTCGACGCATCATTCCTCAGATCATGGCTTCCCGGCTGTCATTGACAAGGTAAAGCCAGCTCCGATAAGGTCAATCTGGCTTCAATAGGGGAGCGGTGATAGCGGCACGTCGACGGCTCATTTGATGGCAGTAGTGATCGTTCGGTGATCTTTTATAATACATCTGATCGTTTTCGAAAAAAAAACATACGACAGTGGTGGTCGTTCGGTGGCACTTCAATTACTATCTCTACTGCCTAAAAAGAATGTAAGGTTCCCATTTCATCTTTCTTTTCATCACCCCTTCGTCCAACCTTCCTTGTATGATAATAAATCAAGTTAATTTACTTACCTTCTGAACCAATTTCACTTTAATTACTATTTTACTTACCAAACTCCGAATCAAAATATCTCTTCTCTACTACTTCAAAAGAATGTAAGGTTCCTATTTCACCTTTCTTCCCACCACCCCTTCGTTCAACCTTCCTTATATGATAATAAATCAACTTAATTTACTTACCTTCTGAACTAATTCCACTTTAATTTACTATTTTACTTACCAAACTTCGGATCGAAATATAAGGTAATTCATGGGCAGAATTTAATGATCATTCCATTTACACAATTGCATTATTATAGACAGGTAAATCACAAGCCGACGTACTAGAAGATTTATATCCCGTTGCAACACACGGACATTGTTCTAGTTTCTTATTACAGCTACATATACCTTTTATTTTTGTTTTTTTCTTCCAATAATTACTTCCGTATATATGGTCTGCTCATCCTATAATAAACAAACTATCTCTACTATTTAAAAAGAATGTAAGGTTTCCATTCCACCTTTTTTTTCACCACCCCTTCGTCCAACCTTCCTTCTATGATAATAAATCAACTTAATTTACATACCTTCTGAACCAATTTCACTTTAATTACTATTTTACTTACCAAACTTCGAATCAAAATATCTCTTCTCTATCTCTACTACTTAAAAAGAATGTAAGGTTCCTATTTCACCTTTCTTCCCACCACCCCTTCGTTCAACCTTCCTTGTATGATAATAAATCAACTTCATTTACTTACCATCTGAACTAATTTCACTTTAATTTACTATTTTACTTACCAAACTTCGAATCGAAATATAAGGTAATTCATGGGCAGAATTTGATGATCATTCCATTTACACAATCGCATTATTATAGACAGGTAAATCACAAGCCGACGTACTAGAAGATTTATATTCCGTTGCAACACACGGGCATTGTTCTAGTTTCTTATTACAACTACATATACCTTTTATTTATGTTTTTTTTTCTTCCAGTAATTACTTCCGTATATATGGTTTGCTCATCCTATAATAAACAAACTAATAAGAAAGGAAAGAAAAGAAAAGAAAAGGAAGGGAAAAGTCAGAAGCGCGGCGGGCCACCGCGGACGCCAGTGGGACGTTGCGGACTTGGACAAACTGCTGACGCCCGCCTCCCCACTCCATGATGAACCGCAGGCCAGGACCGGGGGTCGCTTTCCTCTGCTCTTTCCTCGCCGTCCTCGCCCGCCCGCTCGGCGCTCGCCGCCACCACCACCATCCCAAGCACCCCAACCCCGAATCCACTCGCCCCCACTCCCCTATTAGTACCCCCGCTCCCACCAAGAATCTCCCCCAACTCCTCCCCCCTCGGTCTCCGGGCAGTCCATCCACCGAATCCGCCGGACGCGCCGAGCCTCCCCCGACCTTTCCGAACCCGCCGGGCAGTCCAGGTAAAGATCCACAGCCGGCCACCGACCGCTCTGAATCTTGCGAGGGGATCTTTTGCCTGGAGATATTTTCTTTTCTTTTCTTGGGCCATCGTTTCCCCCCGCATTCCGGTTACCAGAATTCGATCCATGTCTCTGCTGTCGGTGGTGCTCGCTGCATCTGTCCCTCCCCCTCTAGATCCACGCGCGGCAGTTACTTCATGGGCGTTGGCCTGATTCCCGATGGGTGTTGTGTTGGCGTGTTGCTGTGGGTTGGGGATCTGGTTCTTCCTCTGGCGCAGGGGTTTCAGTTGCCGGGCCTTTTATTTCCTACACGGCACGACACATGGCTTGCCTGCTTCTTTCCGCGGTTAGCGCCAATGGTTCGCCGAAGGAACTGTGGACGGCTGTGGGCGTGTCGCATTGCTCCTCCCAAGATGAACTGGTAGCATCGTCGCAGCGGAATTCACTTCCGATTCTTCTTCTGCAGTACTGTATATAACTTCGAGAGTAGTATAATATCCTTGGGGGGGAAGCAGCGTCTTGTTTAGTTGTTTCAAGTTCTGCATCCGCTTTTTGTGCCATACTTTATTCTGCTTCATGGTTCGTTCTCGTTGCTACTTTGTGTACTACCGCACTGCGCTGGCACACAGCGCTGTTTTCCCAAGATGGTAACGGGAATTTTGTGCAGTCATGGGATGCGCAAGGATATGCGTGTTATTTTTGTTTGGCGATACTCCTGCTTTGGTACAGTTGTAAAGATCGCTGAGTTAGAAAATACCATCCAGGTGTCATTTCCATGTGTGGCACCAGGCCCCATGCCATCCTCGCTTTAAATGATTTTCCAGTTTAAATCTTTTCGACATGGTATGGAGATAATTTTTTGTACCAAATGCGCCCACAATTTGTGGTTGGTAAATGCGATGTGAACTCTGTTTCGTTCATTTTCCAGTCTAGAAATATTTCCTGTCACGCAATTACACTTAATTGACTTTGCATCAAGAATCTTGATGAACTGCTACTGGCATGCTTTTATTGGAGAATGACTTGGGTGTTGCAGTTCATTAATGGGGATGGCTATGGTACTTTGGCTCTAAAAGATACTTTTAAACCACCACTTCTTTAAATTTTCAACTTCCCCCAATCACACTTGTAGAACGAGTGGTAGATTACTGGTCTAAAGAGTGTTCGTAAGGTGTGTAAACTAAAATTGTCTACCATGATGTGCAGGATGGACTGCAGGATGGACGGATGTGCGATTAGCACTAACGGTTCTGGCAGCAAGTCATGCGGGCCGCTGTCGGACTACCACATTCCAGACTACATACTAAAGCCAGACTCTGAACCAGTCATCATTGATAATGCACCAATTTGTCCCGTGGTGGTCTTCATCAACTCTAGAAGCGGTGGCCAACTTGGAAGTGGTTTGATCAAATCATACCGTGAAGTTCTCAATGAAGCACAGGTACCTGGCCTAGCAGTTGCAGAAGCTGTGATGCTGAAACAGTGCATTACTTTGATCCCTTGATCTGCAGTAGCTCTTTAAATCATGTTCTGATTGCTGGGGAGATTTACATCATTCACCTTTTCACAGGTTTTTGATCTCTCTGAAGAGTCCCCTGACAAGGTGCTGCACAGGTTGTATGCCAACTTTCAAAGGCTAAAGTCTAACGGTGACCCTCTTGCTATTCAAATTGAGAAGAGCCTGAGACTAATTGTGAGTGTCCTACCTTCATAATCTTAATAATGTACAAAAGAATGTCCTGTTTCTTTGTCTGAACTAAGGAGCTTTCAAACAGGTTGCTGGTGGTGATGGCACCGCAAGTTGGCTGCTTGGAGTAGTTAGTGATCTGAAGCTTATGCACTCACCCCCTGTTGCTACTGTGCCTCTGGGAACCGGAAACAACCTTCCTTTTTCATTCGGATGGGTAATGCTAGTGCCTAATTTTTGTTATGACTTACGAGCACATATTCTCTTAATGTATGATGAATATTTCTCTTTATGTACCTCATGTTTGATGTTACTGGAACATTTATGTGTTCCTGACAAACAAAAGAACATACCAGTACCACAAGTTAATTTTCTTGTTTGGCTGTTCCATGAGGAATGCAACTTCTTGTTTTAATGTACACGGTTGTCAGTTTCCTTTGACATGTTCTTTTTACCTGGTCTGCGCACAGTGCAAGGCCTGAATTTTCTATACCTTGCTTCCTCAGTTCACCAGGAATTAAGTTTTTGATATTCATTTTAACTTGAACTGCAGGGAAAGAAGAACCCAGCTACTGACAAAGAGGCAGTCAAATCCTTCCTTGGGCTAGTGAAAGAAGCAAGAGAAATGAGCATTGATAGGTATTGTCTCACCTATAATGTGCTTCTGAAAAGAAACTATCTTCTGATTAGCGTGCACATCTTGGCATGAACGGTCATTTCACATACTATTTCTCTATTCCAGACTTCCAGTTGTTGTCCCAGTCAGTTTAATGCATAAGTAAAACATGTCCTCTATTCTGCTTATGACAGAGAACACTCAATCTAGATGCACTTTACTATTTCAGTTGGCATATCATCATGAGGATGCGAGTTCCACAGGAAGGTCCATGTGATCCCATTGCCCCGTTAGAGCTGCCTCATTCACTGCATGCGTTCCACCGTGTAACAGGCGCCGATGAGCTCAATGTGGTAGGACATATTTCTGCTGCTACTATTTATTGTTAATCCTTCAATTACTAATGTAATATTAACAATGGACCATCACGTGTAAATGCCATTTATAGACTTGGAAATGTTACGAGTTTATTAACCAATTATGTCTTTGTTCAGGAGGGTTACCACACATTCCGTGGAGGATTTTGGAATTACTTTAGTATGGGTAAGAGTTCCTCTGCTTACTGCTTAGCTTATATTTTAGACAAAGGCTTGTGACCATTTCAGACGATAAACATTTTTCATAACTATATTTGTTGGTGCATGCTAGTTCTCAGTTCTCACTACCATAGTACATGCCTCAGAGTTCAAAATTATGGGATCCATTTTCTAGTAAATGTGTAAGCGTGTCCTGATTTTGAATCATGCAAGAAATTATGAATATGACCATGATTTTATACACTGCAGGTATGGATGCTCAAGTGTCTTATGGGTTCCACTCTGAAAGGAAGAAAAATCCAGAGAAGTTTAAAAACCAGCTAACGAATCAGGTATTTGGTGTGTTTGTGTGGGAAACAATTTTCTTTATCCTTTCCTTTGAGTTGATTGGTAATTCAGAAATCAGAATTGCTAGCCCGCCTGTGTGATGTATAAATGTATGATGAGTCTTGCGATGCATTTTTGTATGCAGGGTACATATGCTAAACTTGGACTTAAACAAGGATGGTTTGCTCCTTCTCTAACCCATTCTTCTTCAAGGTAGTTTATCAGTAATGCAACCATTGTGCTTTTGGTCTTGCTCATGTTATCTTTATTTTCCAACTATTAGCGTTTTGATGCTTTATTGAGCTATGAAAGTATCAATCAATTTAGATCTGTAGGTAGAACTCACAATAACTTAGCCATCAGCTTTTAAGAGTTCTTATATACCTTGACCTCAGATATGTATATGACATTTCGAACTCCCATTTTCAGGAACATTTCTCAACTTGCAAAGGTGAAGATCATGAAAAGACCTGGTGCCAAATGGGAAGAGCTTAAAATCCCCAGCAGGTAAATAAATCATTATTCCCTTTTTGCAGTATCAGCAGTATTTGTGTACAGTTAGGCAATTTTTATTTGGCACATCTTAAATGCTTGCGCCTACTTTGTTCAATCAATTTGCCACCTGCTAATTTCTTGTAGTTGAGGTGGCATACATTTGGAATTTTGGTTTTCATTATGTGTAAGAATTGCATTACGGCCAGTTACAAAGAAAATCAACAAACTTTCTTTTGTTTCAGTATTCGATCAATTATCTGTCTCAATTTGCCAAGTTTCTCGGGAGGATTCAATCCCTGGGGAACTCCTGGCACAAGGAAGAAACAAGACGTAAGTTTCCCTTCTTGCAAACATTCGACTGAGTCGCATTGTCATATTGATGACTTGCTTTTGCAGAAATTAACAATCTTACCTGTCAATGTATGCAGAGAGACCTGACTGCGCCTTATGTTGATGATGGACTCATTGAGGTTGTCGGCTTTCGTGATGCTTGGCACGGTCTCGTCTTGCTGGCCCCTAATGGACATGGGACTCGTCTAGCACAGGTGAAGTACCTTGGTTCTTTCACCATTCAGTACGCTGCAGATTCATTTCATTGCTGACTGACAACCGACTGGCTTTGACGGCAATTTCACTGTCCAGGCTCATAGGATCCGGTTTGAGTTCCACAAAGGAGCAGCCGACCACACGTTCATGAGGGTCGACGGCGAGCCATGGAAGCAGCCACTCCCCAGCAACGACGAGACCGTCGTCGTCGAGATCTCCCACCTCCGCCAGGTCACCATGCTCGCCAACGGCCACTGCAAGTCAAAGAGCGTTGAGGACCCTATGACTCCATCAAGCCACGGGCATGAGAACGACGACAGCGACAGCCTGGAGGACGAGGACGAGTGGAAGGAGGGGAGGAAGAAGTTTGGGGCTGCGGATACCTTCAAGTTACCTGACGAGGTCGACATCGCGCACCTTAGCTGAGTGATTAGTCGAGGTTTCAGATTTCAGAATGCTCGCCACTGCTGGCAGTGATTATTCCCCTTTGTTTATGGTGTTAATTTCGGAGCTTAATTAATTAGCAGCCTTGTGTAGACCGGCAATATTCACTAACCGCAAAATCGGCAAGTGTTTGCAATGCAATTGTTCTCTTGTTGGAAGCGTATAGTGGTGCCTCTCTCTCTTTCTCTCTTTTTTTTTTGCGGGTGTATAGTGGGGCAATTCAGATTACACTGCATAGGCAGTCAGGTTCAGTCTGTAGTACTCCCTCCGTTCCTAAATATTTGTCTTTTTAGACATTCAAATGGACTACAACATATGGATGTATGTAGACATATTTTAAAGTGTAGATTCACTCATTTTATCCCGTATGTAGTCACTTGTTGAAATGTCTAGAAAGACAAATATTTAGGAACGAAGGGAGTAGTTTTTTCTTTTCTTTTGCGGGGCAGTCTAGTTTTTTTATGGCCTCTTTTAACTCGAAGCATTTTCCTAGCAGTTTTTCTCCAAGGAATTCCTTTTTATATTTTATTAAAAAAAATCGGCTCAAATCTCTTGCAAGAATTCATTCTTTGTTGGTGAAGCGATAAAACAAAATTTATTTCTGGCTTTTTGTCAAAGAGGCCCTTATTAAGGTCAACATGTAGTCAGATGAACACAATTCACATCAGTTCCAAGATGCAAACCTCGATCTGTAAGAAGTGAAGCATCTAAAACACAACTAAGGGCTAGTTCTTTGGAAAACTCTAACAATCAGCTGGCGGATCGCTCGGCCGCATCCGCCGCCTGCTTCACTTGCCAGGTGCCTTCCTGGGCGCACCCTCAATCTATTCCCCTAGAATCAGAAGCATCATGCGTTCGTTGCCGTAAAGTGTTTTGCAACAACTGCTGTGTTGGAATGAGGTTCTGCTACATGACCTATGTTGCAAAAGAAAATTTATTCAGAAAAAAAAATCACAACAAGACCTCTATTGCAAAAAAATAAAAAATCCAGAACAAGATCTCTGTTATAGAAATTTCTGCAACATAGCCTCTGTTACAAGAGGTTCCACAACACAGTGGTTGTTGCAATTGTAAGGAGGCTGGGCTCTTTCTTGGTAAAAAACTACAGACTGTCGAGTCGATGGATCTTTAAAAATGATACCCCGGCCAACGCGTATCGTGCTCCTAGTTCTTTTGGCAGCTTAAAGTCTAAAAAAACTTAAAAGACGGTTTATTTTTTAATCTGGAAATAGGCAGCTTAATTTTTAAGCTGCACAAAAGAAACTGTCCCTAATGTATCCACCTCAGAGTCATTTCCTGGGTCCTACCTTGTGCATTGTCCACCAAGCTTCCGACTCCCATCATCATCTTCTTACCACTCGTCTGAGATTGAAAGCAACCATTGCACCATCTCGTTGAAGCCTCGAGTAGTCCTAGCCATGGGCAGCCCGGCCCAACCTCGCCCACGGTCCGGGCCTGGGACTAGATTTCGACCCCAACGGCCGAGCCCCGGGCTCGTCGTTTTCGCCATTTAAGAAAGAGGACCAGCCCGTGGCCCGAGACCCGGCAAGCTTTTAGCATGATGGGACGGGCTTGGGCCCGATTTTTAGGCCCGATGACTGGGACGGGCCAGGCTCAGGCCTGGGTTTTTTGTGTCGGGCTTTGGTTGGCCCGGCCCAGCCCGACAGATGGCCAGGTATAGCCTCGAGTGACAAAAACGCGTAATGGGTGACGTCAAAATGATACTAGTAGTAGTAGTGCGCGCTAGGATAAGGACTTGGTGAGCCGTGACAAGGCAAAGCATCTTCTAGAGTAGACTTCCCTCCGTCAGCAGCAGCAGCGGCTAGCCCACTGTTTGCCGGATAAATACTCCAAAACCGTGTACCGCCGCGCGCACGCCCGCAGGAACGGAGCCCGCGTTATGCACGCCAACACGCTAACCGCGCGTTGTACTATATATATAAACGCCGGCGCGCCCCGTTTCCATCCACGTCGAAGCCACAACCAAGCCAAAGCAAGCAAGAAGAGGAAGCGGTCGGTGGATGAGCGTGAGGTACATGATGAGCCGGGTGGGCGCGCGGGCGGCGCAGGCCGCGCGGGACGCCGTCGGCAGGTCCGCCGGCAAGGCCGACAGGGCGCAGGCGCAGGCGCAGCAGCAGTCCATGGCCAGGGCCGGCAGGGAGTCGGCGCGGGCGAAGGCGCCGCTGGCCAGGAAGGCGGCCGAGGAGCGGCGGAGGCGGGCGGCCCAGGAGGAGTCGCTCCGCACCGTCATGTTCCTCTCCATGTGGGGCCCCAACGCCTAGCACCGCGTGGATTAGTACCGCTGATTATAATTAGCAGTGTGCGTGCGTGCACATGGTTTACGTGCCGCGTGGTTAAAGCAACCCTTTTAAGTCTGTGTGTACAAGGCGAATGTAAAGTGTACTGCAAAAAGAAAAAAAATTATTGGTCTCGAAAAAGAAATATTGTAAAATGGCATAGGGTTACACTGAAAACGGTTGATCTACCGATTTGTTTACCTGCAGATTACTCCCTCCATAAAAACACAATACACACGCAGACACTCGTATATACGCACATACACACATCCCTATAAATGTACACATACATATCCTACCCCTATGAACACCTTCAAAAACTGAGTCGACACATCATCTTAAGAATGACAAAGTCGCCATAATCGTCTTCGTGGTCGACGGGAATGTCTCCTCCCGGTGAACACAACATGGCCTGAAATAAATCTAGAACAATACAAACCAGTGTCAAATCTACGATTTTCTTTTTGCAAAATAATTCTTGCCCAAGTTCCTCCGGCGACCCGGCAAAATGAACAACACAAGGCCCCGATCCCCGACCGTACGTGTAGCGGTGCACCTGCAATATTCAACCAACCTATTAGAATTACGACACCAATTTAACAAGACATGGCCGGCGCCAAAACGCCACCCGATCGGGAAGAGTCGAGGGCACGACTATATCGAGCTAGAAGGAGGCACACTTATGTGCCGCCCGCAGTAACTCCTATGCGAGGGCACGTGCCCTCGTCATACTAATGTCACGTGTGTTTTTCTTTTTGTTTATTGAAAAAAATAAAATACATATACTACAAGAAAATAAATTAAGTGATATTTTTCAAAAGTGTTTATCTTGCATTAAAAAATTGTAAATGTTGTGTAAGAAAATGTGCGCTCAACATTTTTTTGTACATTCCAAAAATGTATGTGATATTAAAAAAATTACTCCCTTCGTCCGGGTTTATTAGGCCTAAAGACAACTTCTCTTAGACCAAGACATATAGTAATTTGGGCACATTAATTCTTTCATTTCACTCCCAATGCACTCTCTCACATGCATGTAGCCAATGAAAAAACACGCATGAAGTGTATTAATTTCCCAACCATGGCACCAACAACAATGACTTTCAATGCAACCAATGAAATGGTTGCATGCATGCACCTTTCTAAAATGAGGCCTTATAAAAAGGGACATGCTTGTGATGCTGAGAGGCCGAATAAACCCGGACGGAGGGAGTATACACTAAACAAAATGTTCGTGTCGTTAAATAAAATGTATGTTACATTTTCTAAATGTTCACGTGTTCAAAAAAAATGTCTATGCCATTTAGAAAATGATGATCCAATGTATAAAATATTCACGTAGTTTAAAAATAATGTTCTATATCATAAAGAAAATGTTTCAACATGTATTCGGGAAAAATGTTAAAAAAGTATTAAAATGTTAATAATGTATTTAAAATTTAAACATATATAATAAAATGTTTAAGACATGCAAAAAGTGTATGATATGTATAAAAAACAGTAGGCATCAAATATTTATTGAAAAATGGTAATCATGTATTAAAAAATGTTAAACCTGTTTAAAGAATGTTCCTGATGTCTAAGAAAATTTTACAATGTGAATGAAGAAATAGATATATGTTGAATATAAAAAGGCGAAAGGAAAAAACCAGAGAAAAAACCCAAAGAAAAGTAAAACATGAAACTAAGAAAATCATCGAAAAACCAAAGATAACATGAGGAAAGCCTTGTAATAAACAGTGTAAAACCGAAAAATAAACAACAGAAAATAAGCTCTTGCTTGGTTACAGTGTTGGGCTGACCTATAGCCGCCTGCTGTAGGTGATTCTTCATAGGAATAAGTACAGGCGACACATAGCCCTGACGCTAGAAGGGAGCATCGCCTACAACGGACGGCCACTCCGCTTATCCAATTTTCTGTTTCGTTCGTTCTATTTTACTCTTCTAATCTCCGATAAGTATTTCCGGACGGAGGGAGTAGTTTGTAGTCTAGTTTTTCTTGTGGTTTTCCTATTTCTTGTCCATTTTCCCACCTAGCTTTTCTTTTCTTTTCTTCCTTTATTAGTTTTTATTTATATTTTGAATGGTTAATTTTTTTTAATTAAATTTTGAAAACTTTCATGCCGGGTTTAAAATAAGTTCGTGCAGTGTTTTCACATAACTTTTAGAAAGTGTCAATAGCACTCCACATATTCCGAAAATATGTTTGTGAAATTTTAAACAATTGTTAATACAATGTAAAACAAATGTTATCCTACTTAGAAATAAAATATTCCATACCATTAAAAAAATCTTTGTATCATTTAAGAATGTGTTTACGTGTTTTAGAAATATTTATGAATTTCATAAAAAATATACAATGCAAAATTTTCAGGTAGTTTTAAAAAAATGTTGTGTACCATTCAAATAAAATGTTTATCACATTTGGAAGAAATGTTCATTTATTTCAAAATCATGTTTGCGATTTAAAAAAAATTATATTTGGAGTAATTTTAAAAACTTGTTTCTTAATTTAATAAAAATGTTTCGTGCAATTCAAAAATATATTGAACGTGCGTTTTGAAAATATTTAACATGCATTAAAAAAATGTTCAAACATGTTCTTGAAAAAATGTTCGTCACATATTTGGAAAAGGTTAACATATATAAAAAACTGTTTCACATGTATGCAAAAAGTGCACAACA